TTGTATGTTGATTTTGTATCCTACAACTGTACTGAATTCATTTATCAGTTTTAAGAGGTTTTTGATGGAGTCTTTAGGTTTTTCTACATATAGGATTACGTCTTCTGTAAGGAAAGACAATCTGACCTCTTTTTTTCCAATTTGGATGCCTTTCATTTCTTTCTCTTGCCTGATTGCTCTGGCTACAAATTCCATTATTATGTTGACTTTTAAATTTGATATATATTTTTTTAAAGCTTCTCAGGTGACTTTATTGTGAAATACCATTTGAAGACCTCTTAGGTGATGACTGAAGTTTTCTTGTATCCTTAAAAGCTGCGGTCCCCAACTACCAGGCCACAGCTCAGTACTGGTCTGTGGCCTATTAGGAAATGGGCCGTGTATCACTGCCTGAGCTCCATACCACACCCCACACACAACATCCCACCCCCCACCCCTGAGATTCGTGAAAAAAATTGTCTTCCATGAAACCAGTCCCTGGTGCCAAAAAGGTTGGGGACCATTGCTTAAACATACCAAGAATTGAGACTGTCTAGGACATTTTGGAAAATTCTCAAGAAATCAAAGATTTCACTAGCTATGGGGAAAAGGACACCTATATATTAACATATTTTGCTACTTTTCAAACATGAAAAAAATGTAAGAGGTAAATCACATCACATTCTTTTAGAAACAAAACTGTAGTAGGGCATCAATCTGTGACCATGTTAAACTACTTCAAAGTGGAACATAATTTCTGCTGTATATAACTAATACTTAGGCTCACTGTAGGTGTCACATATAATTCTTGTGCCATTATTTCTATACTGACCACACATCTCATTCAACGTTACATTTCTCATCACATCCTAGGAGGCACCAACTCTTTCAGTAGTAAATCTTGTTTGTTGCTACAGTGCAAGCTGGACTTAGAATGAGTAGCAAACACTAAGCATTTGAAGTATGATGAATAGCCAGAGATGAAAGAAGCTTGGATAAGAGCTGCTGAAAAACAGCTTCAAGGAGTACAGCCTAGTTACTGAAAGACAGCAACCTGGAGACCCATATCCCCATGATCACTAGAAAACAAGGAAAAATAAAATGTAATGGAAGATGCAGAATGTACAGTAAAAATGGGACAAAAATCACGAATGACACTGGCCTAGGGACAGAGAAAATAATGATGCTTTGTGGGATGAGCCTTTTTTTTGGTTTGTTTCGCCAACAAAATTTTCCACTAACACTGGCCCATAACTAATGACACACAGAGGGGTGGGGAGAAAACTGAACAGGAATAATAAAAGTGCAGTGACGCCATGACTTCTTGAAAAGGTTCAGTTAGTTCTTTAATCTCAATCCTGTCACTAAACTTGAAATCCGGAAAGCCAAAGTTAGCTCAGAGGACCTGCTGACTCCACTGTGGTGGGTGGACTTCTGGGCTCCCCAAAGCCTCACCAGCTGCACTCTCTACAGATTCCCAAGGATGGAGTGGAAACAGGAAGGAGGATGTATTCTACTATTGATTTTGGACCCAATCAATCCTAAAAAGAGAATATTTGAATGTATAAATATAGAATTTGTTTTTCTGTTTTGTTTTTTTGAGTCAGGGTCTCACTCTATTGCATGGGGTAGAGAAATGCAGCAGCATCATAGCTCACTGCAACCTCAAATGCCTGGGCTCAAGGTAAGTAACCTTCCTGCCTCAGCCTCCTGAGTAGCTGGGGCTAAAGGCAAATACTACCAGGCCCAGCTAATTTTTCTATTTTTAGTAGAGATGGGGTCTTACTATACTGCGCAGGCTGGTCTCGAACTCCTGGCCTCAAGTGATCCTCCCGCCTAAGCCTCCCAAAGTGTTGGGATTACAGGTGTACCTGGCCCCAAATTTAAAATTTTAATGTAAAGTGAAATAAAATTATATTCATGTTATGATACTAATATTTAGAGTTGGACTTGAACATCGACAAGATTAGTAAAACAAGTATTTTCATCTGTTAAAATTTCTTCCCTAATCTAACTTCTAAAAAACTATGTGAACAGATACAGATTTTTAAGAAAAATGAATAATCAAAAAAATTTAAAGAAAGGAAATTTACTAGTAAAACAAAAACCACAATAAAAACAAGGTATAGGAAAAATCAACAAATACTAAAAGTACCACAATCATTCTATTATTTATTTAAAAACCAATGTTTTGTCAGAGTTCCTACAAGCTCCTACATTTTTAAATTGTACAATATAACTGGCCACCATAAAAACCCTCATTGTTAGTGTCACAGTATTCAAAAAACATCTATGACTTATTATGAAAAATAAAAATAACTCAATAGAAAAAATTGGAAATTATGTAAGAAGAGGCAACTTATAAAAGCAGAAATACAAATGCTCAGGAAACATCACTGTGTACCCCAAATTTGATCAATGCCACTAGCAGTCAAGCAAATGCCAAAGTAAAAGACATTACATTTTTTCTCATCATAAAGGCAAAAATTAAAATGACTGATTAGAGTCAACAATAGTGAGAGTACAGGAAAACAAATATTCCAGTCAAATTCATTAATACCGACATTGTGCTTTTGGTTTAATAAAGAAAATTCATTAACTAGATATCCAAGAGAAATAAAAGTATAAAAGTTTTATACTAACATTGGCTCTAGAATCATTTATAATAGCCACATTCTGGAAACAACCCTAAGAACCATGGATAAGGAATGTTTAAAAATATGGTTTAGTTCCTTATACATTCGGAATACTAATCTCCCCTGTTGAATGAGTAGTTTGTAAATATTTTCTCCCTTTCTATAGGTTTTCTTTTCATTTTATTGATTGTTTCCTTTGCTGTGCAGAAGCTTTTTACTTTGATGCAATCCCACGTTTATTTTGTTTTTACTGCTTATGCTTTTGGGGTCTTATTATGAAATCTTTTCCCAGACCAATGTCCTATTATATTTCTTCTATGTTTTCTTCAAGTAGTTTTATTGCTTTGGGTCTTGCACTTAGATCTTTGATCCATTTTGTGTTGATTTTTTAACAGAAATAAATAAATGATTTGAAAATGGGCAAAGGATCCAAACAGACATTTCTCAAAAGAAGACATACAAATGGCCAACAAATATATGAAAAATGTTCAATATCACTGATCACCAGGGAAATGCAAATCAAAACCATAATGAAATACATCTTATCCCAGTTAAAATGACTATTATCAAAAATGATAAAAAAAAATAAATGCTGGTGGGGATGCAGAGAAAAGGGAACTCTTATACACCATTGCTGGAAATACAAACTAGTACAGCCACTACGAACCACAGTATGAAGGTTTCTCATAATATTAAAAATAAACCTACTATATGATCTGGCAATCCCACTACTGAGAATTTATCCAAAGGAAAGGAAATAATATCAAAGAGACATCTGTACCTTGATGTTTATCGTAGCACTACTCACAATAGCCAAGATATGGAATCAACCTAAGTGTCCAACAACAGATGACTGGATAAAGAAAATGTGGTATCTATACACCATCAAAGACTACACAGCCATAGAAAATAATGAAATACTGCAATTTGTAGCAACATGGTTGGAAATGAAGGACATTATGTTAAATGAAATAAGCCAGCAACAGAAAGCTGAACACAGAATGTTCTCACTCATATGTAGAAGCTAAAAAAAGTTGATGCCATAGAAGTAAAAAGTAGAACAGAAGATACTAGAGGCTGGGAAGTGTACAGGAAACAGAGAGATACAGAGAGATTTGTTGCAGGATACAAAATTACAGCTAGATAGGAGGAATAACTGCTAGTGCTCTATACTGCAGAAGGATGAGCATAGTTAACATATTATATAGCTTCAAATGGTTAGAAGGGGAATACTGAATGCTGTTTCCAACACAAAGAAATAATAAATACCTGAGGTGATAGATACCCTAATTACCCTGAATTGATTAATTCACATTGTATTCCTATACCAAAACATCACATGTACCCTATAAAGATACACAACTACATGCATTCATAATAATTAAAAACAAAAAATAAAAAAATATCATGGTTTCATCATACTATGGAATAATATGCAGTTATTAGACAAACTGAGCTGAATAGCAATGTATTGATTTTAAAGAATATCTATGACACATTTTAAGTGAAAATAATATATATTATTTTAATAAAGGAAAAATAAATAAACACACAGAATACCACATGTGCATATCTATCTCTATAAGCAAAGGAAAAAGTACAAAAGAAAAAAACATGTCATGTTGCAAAGAGTGGTACAGATAATAAATGGGAAAAAATGGAGATGAACAATTTTACTTCAAATACATAGATAATAGTTGGTTCTCAGGATCATGAAAGATAGTCACTTGAATCACAAAATGTAAGCACGCCATTAAGCCATATCAGATACAACTTTGGCCTCTTCTAATTCTCTAATGTATGCCAAGAAAGACTTTCCTATTGTAAGCTTGAAATTTGGAGCAATGTGCCAAGATGGTTGCTAGGTCAAATTTTAGAAAAATTTAGTTCTTTTTACTTAGAGTAATCAAATTTCTAGTAAAAGAAATTAAAAAGAGCAATAGGAAGTAGAATCTACTTGTATGCACAAATGAAAAAATATGCACTGTGAACCCACCATAGCATTGTTCTAGATCAGAATGATGCTTTACATTAAAACCAGTTGGTATTTCAGGATGGGATCCAAGCTAGAGCTTAGACCCTTCTCTACTGAGAATAGCGTTTAAATATGATTCCAGTGGTTCTCGCTCATTAGCAAATGTTTCTCTATGGAAAATAAAATAAGATAACATCTAAACAATAATATTCCAGTGAAAATATCTAAATGTTAAAACATGGTTTCCAACAACTAAATTAACGCAATAACCATAGTTCACTTCAATATTACTTCTCTTTACCCAAATATTTTTTTAAATTTAAAAATGCTATGGTAGATATGTTAGATTTCAGCTCAAAAAAACGCACATCAAGAATGCCAACCCTTTGCTTAAAAAGATCTTTTCCTACCTTCACATTATCTGGATGCAGCCCCCCAGGGTGCTTGTCCATGTACTGACATAAATCAGTGTGCTAGAAGAAAAAAGGGAAAATGTATTAATATCCCTCTGGCTATAACATGATAAATCAATATTTTTCTACTTCAAAGTCACCATTACCTTCTAAGCAAAGCAAAAACAAGACAAGTGGATGGATTTTTTAGTGTATCTAGTTATATGTTTCTCTACTCCCGATTTTTACCAAATTGAATCATCATTTTTACCTCTAGGCTCTGTTTAATGTTAAATGTATCTGTGTATTAAAAAAAAATACATGTCCATAATTTGTTAAGTGTCTGATTTCCTCTTCATTGAATATACATACATATACCTTAACTAAAAAAGATACACACAATGAACCAATCCAATTACAATTTCAATTATCTTATATTTTCCAAGGGTAAATGCAAGTTACGATTATTTATTTCATATGAAATGAAAATACTATAAAAAGATTATGCTAGTAAAAATAATCTTTAGACTTATTTTTCATATCTATATTCACAAAAAATAATTTTCAGACTCTCAGAACTGAATATATGAGTAAATAAAATTTAGAAATTAACAGAAATACATTCAAAATTATAAATTATTACAAATGCATCCACAAATAAGTTAAAAAGAATATTCCTAGATAACATCTTATGTTGTTATTCTTTTAAATATGCTGAACTCAATTTGCCCACAATAGTATATTTTTCCTAATGCTTTTTTTCTCTTTATATTATAAAGTACATAGACTTTTCAAAAAGCATATCCAGTTACTATTCACATTTTTCTTCTCCTACTAGAGTATACTATAACATTTATAACACTGAAACATTTAATCATTCTGTGAAAGCCAATGAACATGAGCATTTGTGCCCAAATATCAGACTTGAATTATTGAGGAATTACAAATTTTACATGTTCAAGAACCTTGCTATAGCCATTGTAACAACAGTTCAGATTCCATTTTTGCATTTTTATCACATGCCAGGTAGTAACTGCTCAGGACACACAGCAGAAATTAGCCTTCATTCATTAGTCACATACTTCTTGAGCACTTATTATGTTCCAGGCACTATATTAGTTATTAAGGACACAGAAGTGAATGAAACAGATGCTAATGAAAAAACAAGATATGCTAGTAATTACAGCTATGTATTATTTTAAGAATAGTACTGGGTAATACTCAAGGGCATAGGAAGGAGAACCTAACATGGTCTAGAGATTTGAGAAGGGCCTTTGGAAGAAATTACGTCTATGAAAGACACCAGTAGAGGATGAAGGAAGTTAGCCATATGAAGGGCAAAGGGAAAGAAAATAGGCTCTTAGATACATTCTGAGACAAAATTGTTTTTATCTTGGACCATACCCAAGGTGTCTAGCTTCTAAATCAATCAAACTCCATTAAGGCAGAAATCATGTTCTATTTGAAAATTATTGTCTCTCTGGTCCAGGCAAAATGTCAGACACAGAGAAAAAAATAACTAAATAAATACAAATGGAAACAGTTTTACATAATATAAGATAGCACATTTAAAACAAATCTAATATCATTATAATGAGTTTCATGGAGTTTTTCCTGAGTAACTCTATAAAAGTTTTATTTCGTACATTTAATGAAATGAAGAATAAATTTGGACCCTATGATGCCATTTTGTTACTTAATATTATTAACTTTCCCATTCTTTCAAATAGGAATAACACCACCCTCAGAGAAGAACAAAAACCAAAAACAAAACAAAAACCATGAAAACATTTTTTTTGAAGACAGTACACGAGAAAGTATTTTTTATTTATAATGTGATATATAAAAATGAGGTATTGCTTAAAATATTGTCCATTATATAATAAGACCTAAGAGGGTAAGAATTTATTTAACACATTAACTGCCATGTGAGTTGTATTTAACTCACACTAGTGTTGAACCCGTACCTCATGAAGCATATGTAACTCACACCTCTTTACCGTGGAAGCTGTGAGGACTAGTTTTCAAGTTGATTATAACTCACACAGAGAAAACAATTAAAAATAACAAATTTTTCATTAAATTAGAAAGGATCATTTTGTTTTACAAGTTTTTATTCTATTTTTGTAATAAAACATCATGGTCCCAAGGAAATTTTTTTTCTAGTGTGGCAGTCAATGTGTTAATTTGTTCAATGCTTCACACACAACAGACAAAATGGTCAATAGAAAGTACATCCAACCATATCAATAATCACATATCCACATGTGATATGTGGATTCTCATTAAAAACATAACTCTCATTAAAAACATAAAATTTCAGTTTACAAAACAAAGAAAATTGAATTCATACTGTTTCCCAAATACAAACTCAAAATAACAAACAAACAAGAAACAATACATAACAAAGCACCAAGATAGTCTGAAAATAATACTTTGTAATATATTTATATTATCTATGTTTTGTTATTTATAATGATAAATATCAATAAAAAGGAATCAGATACAGCACCATAAATCAAGCATAATAGAATTCAAGAAACATGTATATAATATAACATCTAGCAACAGGACACATAAATATAAAGCAAAAATTGATAAATATAAAATAAACTGAAAATTTCACAAAATCTTGAAGGGTTACCTCACTCTTCAAAAAATCAACAGATGGGATTGGCCAAAAAAGTAAGGCTATAAGGACTATGAATAAGACAAATGGTATGTTAGTTTTTGTGGGGGCGGTGTGTGTGTATATATAAATATATACATATATTATAATATAAATAAATTCACGATGCACATGCTTTTTGAACACAAATAGCCTGTACACAAAAGCTGACAATGGATTAGACAAAGAGAAAATCTCAAAAATTTCCAGAAAACAGAAATCATATTACACCCTTTCCTCTCAACTGAATAAAACTAACATCAAAGTATACCATATTTCATCAACTCTGCGACATACAATTCTGGAGAATATCACATGGAGGAAGGAACAAGAGGTCACACTTTGTACCCTAACATCCATGTTTGGCAAACTTCTACCTACATTAAAAACTGTTTCTCTTCCTTGCCTCTTTTTTAATGCACAGTACTGTGCCTAGAACTGCATTAGGTGTGCCTAAAATACAAATTTCATTACAATACATCTCTTCTTTCTTCATAACTTCTCTCCTTAGTTGTAGTCATTAGATTATGTGACCCTTATGATTTATACTGGTCCAGAAATACAGAACCAAACTTAAATGATCCCAGAAGGCCCTTCTTTGTCATTCCATTTTTCAAAGTCATTCTGGATATAAACATTGTAAACAGAAGACCCTATGGCACATGACCAACACATCACTCTCCCAGGATGACACACCGATAATCTCAGATCCATCTGTCTTGATCTCTGGCTGTTTCTCATTCTAATAACAAAAGGAACACTTATAGACTAGATCCCTGATAACTGCATAACAAAAAGATTATTATTCTCCAACCTCTACCATGGCCCTGAGCCAACAGCTCCTCTTTCCCTCACTGCACTATATGCCTCACCTCGTCTTCCCACACCTCCCCTCTTACCCACTCCACCAGCACTGCTGTGCTTCATCATGATGCCATCAGAAGCACTAATGTCTGACAGGGTTATACCCGAATGCCTGGGCACAGCACATCAACCTTCCGTGAAGTAGGTGGGTTTAAAGGAAGCTAGCTATCCAGTGTGGCTAGACTTCCAGACCAAGCAGAAGATGGAGGGAGAGCAGAAAGCCTCGATCCCCACACTAGACTACATTCCTTTCAAAATCAGGATCCTCTTTCCTCACTGTTGATTACCCATCAGGTAGCATTTATTTGCTTATTTACACAGGTGCAGGAATATTTATGTGGGAAGGAATACGAGGACAGTATCTGAAATCATAACCCCCCCCAGAGGCAAAAGAAGTGCTCTCTGTAAATGAGTTTGCAAGGTTTAGAATTTGGGTTTTCCCACATTGGTTTGATTTCTCTCTGTCTGGATCAATTTAGAAGGCAAGAGAGAAACAACAATTTGAAAAAAAAAAAGACAGGACGTGGAAAGACCACAGAAAATCGAAAAGACTTTTTACTCACAAGCACTTTCACACAGGTGAGTCTCAGTTGATTTCAACTACATGCAGACCCTAAGAACTACAATGACGAATATTAGTCATGTGCTGCACACAGGCATGAGGCTTAAAAAGAAAGACGTGAAAGAAAACTAGAGAGATAAATTATGTTTACAATGACAATTGTAAAACAGGCCTGAGTGGAGAACAATTCCTCAAATGGGGACCAGGACAAAGATGCCAGCCAAAGGAAAAGACGAGAAACAAGCTGGACTATGACATTCACCTTTTCATACTTTCCACTCTCCATCTCCTTACTCTTTTTAAAATCTGACCCTGGGTCAGGGGAAAGAAGCAATACCCTTCCACCTAAAGCCACTGGTAAGAAGGCTATCTGAAACTCAGAAAGCTTCATGGACTTGAAATTTTGCCCAGTTTCCAGGGCAGAAACAATTAAAGGTCAATTGTTAAGTAGACTTCACCACTCAGTATGTGCTTATGTTTCTCTTTATTTTGTCTAATTTATTATACATGAAGTGAGGTTTTCCATTTGTTGACTCTTCAAATGATCAAACCTCCTATTCACGAGATATCAAGTTCCTCAAAGTAATTCTGCTTTTGCATTAACATTGGCTTTCGGTCTGGACTTTTCTCATCAAGCAGGAATCCAATAAAGCCCCTTCCTGACAACATGTATTTGTTTCCATTCTTCTATAATGTTGAACATGGTGTCCACAATATTTGTCAGCTAATTTTGATGTTCTTCAGGAACACTGCCAAAACATGATATTGAAAATAGCATGGTCCTATTTTTTGCATCTAGGCTAAAAATAAGGACGCCATTCTGTGGAGATAACCAACAGAAATCCTCATTTTGAAATTATGTTAAACATAGCCTCTACATCCTTAACTTCTGTTTCATTTAATTTTCCATTGACAGTAAGAGGAAGAGTCAGTATATTCAAGCTCGGTGTAGTTTTTAATAACACTAAAAAAAGCTATCTCACAAGC